TTGCTCTACAACCGCACACTTTTAGATGGCTCAAATTTGGTACCTTTTTATTCCACAGTTCATAAGGAGTATTTTTACTCATTTTATTTGGAGTTCTATACAATATATATAACAAGATGTCAACATAGCCTCACCCCAAAAACCGTCACTTAGACCAGAATAGGATAACATATAATTAATCATTTCCTTTAAAGTCCTATTCTTCATTTCAGCCACACCATTTTGCTGTGGTGAGTAAGGAGCCGTGGTTTGATGTATTATACCAGTAGACTCGAAATAAACTGGATCATAATACTCACCACCTCTATCAGTGCGCAAAACTTTTATCAAATCCTTTTTATGCAGCTCTACTTCTTGTTTATAAATTTTAAATTTATCAAGAGCTTCATATTTTGCATGCAACAAATAGACATAACAATATCTAGATGCATCATCAACAAAAGTAATGACATAATTTTTATTTCCTTGTGAAGGTGTAGCATGAAAATCACATAAATCACTATGTATGAGTTCTAATACTTTGCTTTCTCTGTTAACATCCTTAAAAGGTTTTCTAGTGATCTTTGTTAACATGCAAGTTTTACACTTTTCATTTTTCATGTCAAAAGCATGTATTAAACTCATTTTAGACATGTCTTTTAACCTTTTATAATGAATATGTCCTACTCTAGCCTGCCATATTTTTTATTTACTTGAGTTATTACTAGTACTAGGTATAATCATGCAAATCGAATCATTATAAAAAGGAAAATTAATATTCAATCTAATCATACCATTACATACATAACCAAATCCAACAAAAGTACCATGTCTTGACAAGATATACTTGTCACTTTCCAACACTTGTTTGTAACCACACTTATTCATCACAATTTCAGATAAGAGATTCTTTCGAATCCCTGGTACATACAACACATTGTCTAAACATAAGCATTTCCCAGAAGTAAACTTAAGTGAAACACATCCTAATCCTTTGATTGGTTCAGTTGCAACATTGCCCATCTTCACAACAGATCCATCTTCAATTGGTTAACAGTCTTGAAACCAACGAAGATCCTTGCAAATGTGACTTGTTGCACCAGAATCAACCCACCAAGAAACATCGTCATCCTGCACATAAAATGCCTCGAAAATTAAAGAAACATAATTCTGAACATAATTAAAATTCTGTATCAAATCAGAATTTTGAGCTTGTTGCTTTCCTGGGTCCTTAGACCCACTTGGACCAGCATCTTTGTTCACTTTCGGAACACGACAATCCTTATTGAAATGACCGGGTTTGCCACACTTCCAACATACCATTTTTGACTTTTTGTTGGAAGATTTATCATCTCCACCTGTGTACTTCCTTTTGTTTTTAGACTTGCTGGAATTCTTTGATCCATCAGCTTCCACCATATTCACAGAAGAAGATCCAATTTGATTCTTACCTTCAGGATTATTGTCAAGTTCTTGAGTCTTCAAAGACTCTTCAATCCTAAGGTGACTTCCGAGTTGAATCAAAGTTAACTCTTCCTTGTTATGTTTCAAAGTATGTTTAAAATCTTTATAGGAAGGAGGCAATTTGTCTATAATAACAACAACTGAGATGGCTTCATCCATCTTCAAATTATGCTGGACAAATTGTCCCAGAATCCTCAACAATTCGTGATATTGTTCCATTACCGGCCTGGTGTCAGTCATCTTGTAATTCATAAAATCACTGACCAGAAACTTTTTACTGGATGCATCTTCTGACATATACTTGGATTCCAGTGAATCTCACAGTTCCTTTTCAGATTTGATATTTTGGTAAACATCAAATAAAGAGTCATACATACTGTTTAAGATGTGATGTGGCCACGACATATGTAGTCGTCGTTCTCCCACTTCGATCTCCTCCTCGCCACTTCCAGGGATTCATTTTCAGTGTATTCAGGCATAGGGGTACTCAGAACGTACGCCACTTTTAAGGTAGTAAGAAGGAAATGCATTTTCTTCTGTCATCTATGAAAATCTTGCCCTTCAAATTTCACCAATTTGTCGAATTTACTGGTCATATCCTTCACAGATTCTCCGTTCGCCATTTTCCACAGAATATTTCAATATTTGTTATAAAGTTTTGGGTGTTGCGATTGCTTGGATTCATTGAGAGTCGTGATACACTTTCATATTGAAATATTTCGATGGTACAATCGAAAATTCATCCGGATAAAACTCAATGATTTAGAATCGAGAATGAAGAGAGTTATGATTTTCTTTTTGTACCAGATTCGAAATGACCAAAAACGGGATAAATAACCCATGTTTGAAATTGACGAAAACTAACAAATAGCAGTTACAAAACCACCACATAACAATTCAAATCATAATAAATTCAAACAAGTAGTAGTTACAAAACCACCACATAACATTTCAAATCATAATAAATTCAAACAAGTGTGCACTCCGCACTACCCTTACTTGTTCAATATTTATTAAGATTACATTGGTCAACAAATTCATCCCATTACACTTAAATAATATTGGTGATACAAATCACCAACAATACCCCTATCTCTATTATTTTTTTAAGTCCTTATTTTATATCGTATCGAAGTCGATTGGGGGAAATATACTTTTCAGATGGGGTCAAGTGGAGAGTATATATTTTTCGAGTCGAGTCAGGTTCGGGTGGAGTGTATATATTTTTCAGGTCAAGCTGGGTTAACCAGAAACTCGACCCAACCCGATTCGTTGTCACCCCTAAGAGGACTCAACAAAACACCACCCTATAATCGATGCATCATTTTGTAACCTTTAATAGTTGAGAGACTCAACCAAGTAACGCTCTATAATTAAGTACCATTTGTGTACTTTACCCTTTTACTTAAATAAAATTAGATACACCATCAAATTTAAGTAGCAGTTTAGTGATAAAAGAGAATATTGATTTATTTAATTCATTTAAAATTTTAAAATATCATTTATAATTATGTACAAGTTTAATCAGATTTAACATCAAATATGAATATTATTTATAAAACGATGTTTAAAAATTGTCTGAAATATATTTAGATATGTATATTGACGCGAATAATTTACGATGTTTCCTAACAATATTTAAATATAAAATTCATAAGTATGAACTAATTCATCAAAAAATGCTTTGTATAAGTGCTGACGATATGATTGTATGGTAATAACATCATATATAGTATGTGTATATCAGTACATGTATAATATACAAAGTGTATGACATCTTTAGTGATGATTGATATGTATATGAATATTAAAACACAATGACTTTGTTAATTCGACTATATGAATATGATTGATATATCTTTGTGTTAATATGTTATTAGTATATATTATATATAATATATGTATTTTTTAAAAATATTTTTGTTTTTTAACAAATTATAACTTACCATTTATATAGTTTATGATATATTTTTTTTAATTTTATAGTATTTGTAGTAATTTAATTTTTATTTTAGATATTTTTATATTTTAAATTTAAAATAATTTTTATTTTTCTAATAAAATAAACAAGCTCTTGAATTTAAAAATAAACTAATTTAACTCTCAAATTTAAAAAAAAAACTAATTTAACACATATTTTACGTTATCAGCCATCGTAAACTGCCATGTCAATATCACGAACCACCACGTAAACATAATGAATTACTACATCAATATCGTAATGATCGACGTTTAGTTTCATTAATAAAAAAATTAAATTATTTTTTCTTTTCGCTTTGAAGGACATATTTATATAAATTTTATTCCAGAATCACATTAAGTTCTTTAGAAAAAAAATCCTAAATATCCTAAGCTCTTAATTAAAACTCTTAGGATATTTTTTAAAAGAAAAAAACTGTGGTTACTACCCTAATTACCCTTGCAATTATATATATTTCTTTTGCATAGATGTCCTAAGAGTAAGTTTACCGCTACAGGTGTTTGTCCCGGGAAACACAAAACCTCAAAGGTGAGTTAACCAAATTGAATCGATAAAGAAAGAAAAAAAAGAAATTCAAAGTCTGCCGCGTTTTTTCATTTCACCTCAGCCATGGCGCCAATTCACAGTTTCCCTCTCTTACCCCAATCTCTCTTTAATACATCCCCTTTATCGTTCTTCTATCCCCGTCTTGCCTTTCACTTCCAAATAAATAAATGGGAAAGCAAAGCAAATCCAAGAAGCCAGAGAATCTGGGCAAAGGAAAAGTCACTCCAGTCCAAGTCGCATTCATCGTCGATCGTTACCTTTCCGATAACAACTATTCCGACACTCTTTCCACTTTCAGAAACGAAGCTTCTTCTCTCATCTCCAAATCCCCTGTTCGAGAGGTAGACACCCAATTAGTCGAATTCGTTATTTTTTTAAAATTGTTGTTTATATACTTAATTTTTAATTATTATTATTATTACTATTTTTTGCTATAGGCGCCGAAGAGTTTGCTAAGTTTAGGGGACGAAGTTAGACGAGTATATTTGTTTGAAAGAACAGAAGGTTATTGTAGAGCAGGAAAGAGCTCGTTTGGAGCAAGAAAAATGCAGGGTTTAGTCCCTTTTGCAAGGAATGCAAAGTGTAATGAACGCTTACAATGCGAGTGCCATTGTATCAGTGCCTATGATTCCTCATGCTAATACAACTAAAACAGTAGCCGTGGCTCCTTGATCAGATCCATATGCAAGATCTCCCCCAGGTACAAATATCGAGCACTGAGTGGTTAATTGCTTTAGGATTGATCACCTTATATTAACTCTTACTTTAGCCTCTATTGATGTGTTGAAAAATGTGAAACCTTTGAAGATTGAAATGTTTATCAAACGTAGACAAGTTTGGCTCTGAATTATAGTTTGATTTAGATGTATGTAAATTTAGTATGTGGATTGTTTGGAATTGGTTGTCTGATAATTTGTTTTTGATAAATATTTAAGTTCTCAATTGAAGTTTTAAGGCCTTAAGAGTACCCTGGGAGATTTTACAGTTGCACACCTCTTATATGATCTAAATATTGGTATGCGCACCTCTTATGTTCTATGCTCTTGTTTTAGGCCCTCCTGTGTATAGTACACCAACTGTTATTCCAGTATCTGGTCTTTCTAATTCCAGAATGGAGATAAATAATTACTTTACGCCAGTTACACTTCATCCATTAACAAGGAATAAGAGGACCTTGGAGGCTGTCATCGAAGCCCCAGCAGCAGCAAAGAGAACTCGCAACAAATCAACTTCTAGGAAGTTAACAACCCAGGGTAGGCTTAATTCATTTTTATGCCTAATCATATTTATTTCATGCCTTGATGCATCCATAACATCCTTGACATCTTTGTTTCAGGAACCGAAAAGCTGCCAGAGTATGATAATGTTATGAATAGACAAGTAGCTGGTCAGTCAAGTCCTTTAAATCAATCAACACCTCCCAGTTGCACGGCCAATGAATCAACAATACACGTATCTGGTGTTGCCAAGTTTTTGTTCAATCAGCCACAGCTATCCCCTCCAACTAAATCTTCAGGTCCTAAGACACCCCACAAGCAGTTTCCCCTCAGAGTGATAAATCAATGACTCCATTGGGTGTTTCTTCAACCGTTAATTGCGGTCACAGCAATACTCCTGGAGAGGTCACTCCTACTAACTGCGATCATAACAATACTACTCAAGAGATCACTCCTAATTGCACTATAGTTTCAACTGAGAGAGTTACGGTTAGTCTTTTAAAACAGATGACGTGCTACACCATTGAGAGGAATCATTGCATTTCCTTTTGTTCACCAGTTAAGACATGCTTGAAGAGGCTTGGTAAGAGAGATAATGTAAAAAGTAGGCTGGACTTTGATGGTTCTGATGCAGCAGTGCATGTGGACAAACCACTAGTTAACGAGATTTCAACATCTGAGCCTGAAATGGATGCTGATCTTTTTGACATGGATTTGCCAAATATAGATGCTTTAGGAGAAAATTTCTTATTCTCTGAACTGTTAGTGGATCTTGATCTTGGATCTGAAGGATTTGGCTACCCTTGCCAACCAACGTTGGGTACTTCTGGACCTGCTCTTTCAGGGTATTGTAGAGCAGGAAAGAGCTCGTTTGGAGCAAGAAAAATGCAGGGTTTAGTCCCTTTTGCAAGGAATGCAAAGTGTAATGAATGCTTACAATGCGAGTGCCATTGCATCAGTGCCTATGATTCCTCATACTAATGCAACTAAAACAGTAGCCGTGGCTCCTTGATCAGATCCATGTGCAAGATCTCCCCCAGGTATAAATATCGAGCACTGAGTGGTTAATTGCTTTAGGATTGATCACCTTATATTAACTCTTACTTTAGCCTCTATTGATGTGTTGAAAAATGTGAAACCTTTGAAGATTGAAATGTTTATCAAATATAGACAAGTTTGGCTCTGAATTATAGTTTGATTTAGATGTACGTAGATTTAGTATGTGGATTGTTTGGAATTGGTTGTCTGACAATTTGTTTTTGATAAATATTTAAGTTTTCAATTGAAGTTTTAAGGCCTTAAGAGTACCCTGGGAGATTTTACAGTTGCACACCTCTTATATGATCTAAATATTGGTATGCACACCTCTTATGTTCTATGCTCTTGTTTTAGGCCCTCCTGTGTATAGTACACCAACTGTTATTCCAGTATCTGGTCTTTCTAATTCCAGAATGGAGATAAATAATTACTTTACGCCAGTTACACTTCATCCATTAACAAGGAATAAGAGGACCTTGGAGGCTGTCATCGAAGCCCCAGCAGCAGCAAAGAGAACTCGCAACAAATCAACTTCTAGGAAGTTAACAACCCAGGGTAGGCTTAATTCATTTTTATGCCTAATCATATTTATTTCATGCCTTGATGCATCCATAACATCCATGACATCTTTGTTTCAGGAACCGAAAAGCTGCCAGAGTATGATAATGTTATGAATAGACAAGTAGCTGGTCAGTCAAGTCCTTTAAATCAATCAACACCTCCCAGTTGCACGGCCAATGAATCAACAATACACGTATCTGGTGTTGCCAAGTTTTTGTTCAATCAGCCACAGCTATCCCCTCCAACTAATTCTTCAGGTCCTAAGACACCCCCACAAGCAGTTTCCCCTCAGAGTGATAAATCAATGACTCCATTGGGTGTTTCTTCAACCTTTAATTGCGGTCACAGCAATACTCCTGGAGAGGTCACTCCTACAAACTGCGATCACAACAATACTACTCAAGAGATCACTCCTAACTGCACTATAGTTTCAACTGAGAGAGTTACGGTTAGTCTTTTAAAACAGATGACGTTCTACACCATTGAGAGGAATCATTGCATTTCCACTTGTTCACCAGTTAAGACGTGCTTGAAGAGGCTTGGTAAGAGAGATAATGTAAAAAGTAGGCTGGACTTTGATGGTTCTGATGCAGCAGTGCATGTGGACAAACCAATAGTTAATGAGATTTCAACATCTGAGCCTGAAATGGATGCTGATCTTTTTGACCTGGATTTGCCAAATATAGATGCTTGAGGAGAAAATTTCTCATTCTCTGAACTGTTAGTGGATCTTGATCTTGGATCTGAAGGATTTGGCTACCCTTGTCAACCAATGTTGGGTACTTCTGGAGCTGCTCTTTCAGGGTATTGTAGAGCAGGAAAGAGCTCGTTTGGAGCAAGAAAAATACAGGGTTTAGTCCCTTTTGCAAGGAATGAAAAGTGTAATGAATGCTTACAATGCGAGTGCCATCGCATCAGTGCCTATGATTCCTCATGCTAATGCAACTAAAACAGTAGCCGTGGCTCCTCGATCAGATCCATGTGCAAGATCTCCCCCAGGTACAAATATCGAGCACTGAGTGGTTAATTGCTTTAGGATTGATCACCTTATATTAACTCTTACTTTAGCCTCTATTGATGTGTTGAAAAATGTGAAACCTTTGAAGATTGAAATGTTTATCAAACGTAGACAAGTTTGGCTCTGAATTATAGTTTGATTTAGATGTACGTAGATTTAGTATGTGGATTGTTTGGAATTGGTTGTCTGACAATTTGTTTTTGATAAATATTTAAGTTTTCAATTGAAGTTTTAAGGCCTTAAGAGTACCCTGGGAGATTTTACAGTTGCACACCTCTTATATGATCTAAATATTGGTATGCGCACCTCTTATGTTCTATGCTCTTGTTTTAGGCCCTCCTGTGTATAGTACACCAACTATTATTCCAGTATCTGGTCTTTCTAATTCCAGAATGGAGATAAATAATTACTTTACGCCAGTTACACTTCATCCATTAACAAGGAATAAGCGGACCTTGGAGGTTGTCACAGAAGCCCCAACAGCAGCAAAGAGAACTCGCAACAAATCAACTTCTAGGAAGTTAACAACCCAGGGTAGGCTTAATTCATTTTTATGCCTAATCATATTTATTTCATGCCTTGATGCATCCATAACATCCTTGACATCTTTGTTTCAGGAACCGAAAAGCTGCCAGAGTATGATAATGTTATGAATAGACAAGTAGCTGGCCAGTCAAGTCCTTTAAATCAATCAACACCTCCCAGTTGCACGGCCAATGAATCAACAATACACGTATCTGGTGTTGCTAAGTTTTTGTTCAATCAGCCACAGCTATCCCCTCCAACTAATTCTTCAGGTCCTAAGACACCCCACAAGCAGTTTCCCCTCAGAGTGATAAATCAATGACTCCATTGGGTGTTTCTTCAACCGTTAATTGCGGTCACAGCAATACTCCTGGAGAGGTCACTCCTACTAACTGCGATCATAACAATACTACTCAAGAGATCACTCCTACTAACTGCGATCATAACAATACTACTCAAGAGATCACTCCTAATTGCACTATAGTTTCAACTGAGAGAGTTACGGTTAGTCCTTTAAAACAGATGACATGCTACACCATTGAGAGGAATCATTGCATTTCCTCTTGTTCACTAGTTAAGACATGCTTGAAGAGGCTTGGTAAGAGAGATAATGTAAGAAGTAGGCTGGACTTTGATGGTTCTGATGCAGCAGTGCATGTGGACAAACCAATAGTTAACGAGATTTCAACATCTGAGCCTGAAATGGATGCTGATCTTTTTGACCTGGATTTGCCAAATATAGATGCTTTAGGAGAAAATTTCTTATTCTCTGAACTTTTAGTGGATCTTGATCTTGGATCTGAAGGATTTGGCTACCCTTGCCAACCAACGTTTGGGTACTTCTGGACCTGCTCTTTTAGGGTATTGTAGAGTAGGAAAGAGCTCGTTTGGAGCAAGAAAAATGCAGGGTTTAGTCCATTTTACAAGGAATGCAAAGTGTAATGAATGCTTACAATGCGAGTGCCATTGCATCAGTGCCTATGATTCCTCATACTAATGCAACTAAAACAGTAGCCGTGGCTCCTTGATCAGATCCATGTGCAAGATCTCCCCCAGGTAAAAATATCGAGCACTGAGTGGTTAATTGCTTTAGGATTGATCACCTTATATTAACTCTTACTTTAGCCTCTATTGATGTGTTGAAAAATGTGAAACCTTTGAAGATTGAAATGTTTATCAAATATAGACAAGTTTGGCTCTGAATTATAGTTTGATTTAGATGTACGTAGATTTAGTATGTGGATTGTTTGGAATTGGTTGTCTGACAATTTGTTTTTGATAAATATTTAAGTTTTAAATTTAAGTTTTAAGGCCTTAAGAGTACCCTGGGAGATTTTACAGTTGCACACCTCTTATATGATCTAAATATTGGTATGCGCACCTCTTATGTTCTATGCTCTTGTTTTAGGCCCTCCTGTGTATAGTACACCAACTGTTATTCCAGTATCTGGTCTTTCTAATTCCAGAATGGAGATAAATAATTACTTTACGCCAGTTACACTTCATCCATTAACAAGGAATAAGCGGACCTTGGAGGCTGTCACCGAAGCCCCAGCAGCAGCAAAGAGAACTCGCAACAAATCAACTTCTAGGAAGTTAACAACCCAGGGTATGCTTAATTCGTTTTTATGCCTAATCATATTTATTTCATGCCTTGATGCATCCATAACATCCTTGACATCTTTGTTTCAGGAACCGAAAAGCTGCCAGAGTATGATAATGTTATGAATAGACAAGTAGCTAGTCAGTCAATTCCTTTAAATCAATCAACACCTCCCAGTTGCACGGCCAATGAATCAACAATACACGTATCTGGTGTTGCCAAGTTTTTGTTCAATCAGCCACAGCTATCCCCTCCAACTAATTCTTCAGGTCCTAAGACACCCCCACAAGCAGTTTCCCCTCAGAGTGATAAATCAATGACTCCATTGGGTGTTTCTTCAACCGTTAATTGCGGTCACAGCAATACTCCTGGAGAGGTCACTCCTACTAACTGCGATCACAACAATACTACTCAAGAGATCACTCCTAACTACACTATAGTTTCAACTGAGAGAGTTACGGTTAGTCCTTTAAAATAGATGACGTGCTACACCATTGTGAGGAATCATTGCATTTCCTCTTGTTCACCAGTTAAGACGTGCTTGAAGAGGCTTGGTAAGAGAGATAATTTAAAAAGAAGGCTGGACTTTGATGGTTCTGATGCAACAGTGCATGTGGACAAACCAATAGTTAATGAGATTTCAACATCTGAGCCTGAAATGGATGCTGATCTTTTTGACCTGGATTTGCCAAATATAGATGCTTTAGGAGAAAATTTTTCATTCTCTGAACTGTTAGTGGATCTTGATCTTAGATCTGAAGGATTTGGCTACCCTTGCCAACCAACGTTGGGTACTTCTGGAGCTGCTCTTTCAGGGTATTGTAGAGCAGGAAAGAGCTCGTTTGGAGCAAGAAAAATGCAGGGTTTAGTCCCTTTTGCAAGGAATGCAAAGTGGAATGAATGCTTACAATGCGAGTGCTATTGCATCAGTGCCTATGATTCCTCATGCTAATGCAACTAAAACAGTAGCCGTGGCTCCTCGATCAAACCATGTACAAGATCTCCCCCAGGTACAAATATCGAGCACTGAGTGGTTAATTGGTTTAGGATTGATCACCTTATATTAACTCTTACTTTAGCCTCTATTGATGTGTTGAAAAATGTGAAACCTTTGAAGATTGAAATGTTTATCAAACGTAGACAAGTTTGGCTCTGAATTATAGTTTGATTTAGATGTACGTAGATTTAGTATGTGGATTGTTTGGAATTGGTTGTCTGACAATTTGTTTTTGATAAATATTTAAGTTTTAAATTTAAGTTTTAAGGCCTTAAGAGTACCCTGGGAGATTTTACAGTTGCACACCTCTTATATGATCTAAATATTGGTATGCGCACCTCTTATGTTCTATGCTCTTGTTTTAGGCCCTCCTGTGTATAGTACACCAACTGATATTCCAGTATCTGGTCTTTCTAATTCCAGAATGGAGATAAATAATTACTTTACGCCAATTACACTTCATCCATTAACAAGGAATAAGCGGACCTTGGAGGCTGTCACCGAAACCCCAACAGCAGCAAAGAGAACTCGCAACAAATCAACTTCTAGGAAGTTAATAACCCAGGGTAGGCTTAATTCATTTTTATGCCTAATCATATTTATTTCATGCCTTGATGCATCCATAACATCCTTGACATCTATGTTTCAGGAACCGAAAAGCTGCCAGAGTATGATAATGTTATGAATAGACAAGTAGCTGGTCAGTCAATTCCTTTAAATCAATCAACACCTCCCAGTTGCACGGCCAATGAATCAACAATACACGTATCTGGTGTTGCCAAGTTTTTGTTCAATCAACCACAACTATCCCCTCCAACTAATTCTTCAGGTCCTAAGACACCCCCCACAAGCAGTTTCCCCTCAGAGTGATAAATCAATGACTCCATTGGGTGTTTCTTCAACCGTTAATTGCGGTCACAGCAATACTCCTAGAGAGGTCACTCCTACTAACTGCGATCACAACAATACTACTCAAGAAATCACTCCTAACTGCACTATAGTTTCAACTGAGAGAGTTACGGTTAGTCCTTTAAAACAGATGACGTGCTACACCATTGAGAGGAATCATTGCATTTCCTCTTGTTCACCAGTTAAGGCGTTCTTGAAGAGGCTTGGTAAGAGAGATAATGTAAAAAGCAGGCTGGACTTTGATGGTTCTGATGCATCAGTGCATGTGGACAAACCAATAGTTAATGAGATTTCAACATCTGAGCCTGAAATGGATGCTGATCTTTTTGACCTGGATTTGCCAAATATAGATGCTTTAGGAGAAAATTTCTCATTGTCTGAACTGTTAGTGGATCTTGATCTTGGATCTGAAGGATTTGGCTACCCTTGCCAACCAACGTTGGGTACTTCTGGAGCTGTTCTTTCAGGGTATTGGTTCTACTTCAATCAAATTGCATATTTTGAACATTAATTTCTCCCGTATTTCTTTACTAGTTTCAGGTAGTTATTTTTCCCTGATCTTTATATTCATTCATGCCTCACAGGTCATCTAATGACTTGGGGGATGACAATCTGGGGGCTAATCAAGTCATGTCAAAGTTCTCATCTACTGTAACAGAAGTATTTTCGGAGAATAACATGAATTCACAAGGTGGTAAAGCTCACCACTGCATGATTTTATTGCTCCCAAACTGATATTTGTATGCTTACTCTGCATGTGCTATGGTTGCAGGACCCAACACCCTGACATCAGTGAAGTCTATAACAAAATGCATCAAAATATTGAGCCCTGGTAAAATATTACATTCTTCTACTGTCTTCATTTTGAGAGTTATTGTTTCTCTATATATTCATGTTTACTTTCACCTAAATTTGCAGCAAAACGTCAAAGGAGCTCTTTGGAGCAAGAAAATTATTTTGCTACAAACTGAGTGTTTTTACCATCAAGATGACTAGTTGGCTGACTGTAAACCGCAGCACTCACTGCAAGCGATGCTTAACAAGGCTAATTTCTCTGTAAAGATCAAGTTATGTTTCAAATGCCTTCCATCGATGGGCCAATACAATTTTTGTTAGGAATTTGAGCAACATATGATGCTCTACAAACTTAAAGACTGTATTTTTTTTTATTTAATCATGTAGGATACTAAGGATACCATGTAGGCTGCTGATAGCAGTTTGATTGTCTAATCGCGCAATTCTTTAATTGAAAACTTCTCTTGTAATCCTTGTGTTCTGAAATATGCTCCTAACAAGCAAAATAGTTGAAACTCATACTTTAGGGTTCATGCTAAGTACTTCTGTAGTTTTTGAACTTCATCTGGGCTTCCGAGGAAGATTGGTGTACGCTGGTGTACCTGCCAATGTAACATGCCAAAGCCGTTATTGACCACTGTTTGAGTTGTATTAATCTTGGTTTGCTTGTCTAGAGCAAGGACACGATCCTGTTACACTGGGGTTCTTGAAACAGAAACTGGATAAGTAGGTATGATCCTCTGGTTTATGTTATTACCTACTCAGGTATGATGTCTAGAATTGTCTATTGCAATGCCGCCTGCTTGTTCTATTAAGAAGCTCATAGGTGCACACTCGTATAGTAGTGTCAGATTTCCATTTTTGTTGTTCTTGTTCTTACGGTTGCAATAGATACCTCTGCGAAGCAGCATTCGATGAATTTCACCTGCAAGATAACCAAGATAGCGGCCCGAATAAGGTTTTCCATTGTATCCTGGTTGCCTAAGGTGGTCGAGATAGTTCTTCAGTTTTTCATCCCAGAGGTCATAATTTCCTTCATTGAAAGAGTAAATATTTCCAGCCTCAGGTATTTTGATGTTCTCATAGAGTAAACACAAATTCTCCATAGGTGGGTTCTAGAGTGAATGCAAACACTCCCTTGCCTAAGGAGATAGTGAAGACTACATGAATATATATAGGTCAATTATATTATTATTCCCGGATTCAGTCAGGTCAGATATTTTCACCGTAAACCCAAATTCGATTAGACTGATCATATTCTTCAAAAAATCTGATGCAATCCAAACTTGAATTTCAAAAAATAAAATCATAACCCTATAAGATCAAGTCGGATTGAAATTTGTCTGTTTTGGATCAAATGTACATCCATACCTACAAAAGCTATGGTTTCTGGTTTGGCTCGGTTAAAATCAACTTAACCCCAAAGGAAAAGCCCCGGGTTTAATCTGTTATTCACAAATCATGGATGCTTTTAAAAACCCAAACAATGAATATTTCTTTTGGGTGTTCAGAACCCATTTTTTGGGGTGAATTTCTTCAAACATTCTAATATTATGACTCATGTTTTAAATTAATCTTTAAATTTTTAGAGTATCAATATTATATCAATTATGTTTTTAGTCACTTTAAGCTTTATATGTTAGTTTGGATTTGCCATGGAGTTCCAACACATGAACTAAAATGCAAACACGTGTGTGCCTATCCCAAGTTTGCATCTAAGTTAGGTACATACGTATGATTTTATATTAAAATGACGAATTCATAAAATTTTAAGAGGAGCAAACTTATAAGATTTTAAGATGAGTTAACTTATAAAATTTTGTGGGACAAAAATAAAACTATTAATAAAAAATATAAAGAAAATATCTGAATTATATAATAATTTAAAATTTTCAAGACAATTATCGTCGACCGATCCGTATAATGTTCACAACAATTCTGGTGGATCTGCAGTATTTGAACTTCTAGCATTTCGGTAGATCTGCCGGTGGTGGAGGTAAAGTTGTTCCGGTTGTTGCTCCATTCTCGACCATGAAAACAGTGGCCATGCCGTAATCCAAGTGCGCGTCCAAGTGACAATGCATCAGCCATACACCTATATACATTGATATTCAAACAGTTGTTACCTTGTGAATCAAGAAAACATGGGGAACACATATTTAATCATAAATTATGAATTGATTAACCTGGATTATTGGCTGTGAATCTGATGACAGCCCATCCTCCAACCGGGACGCCGATGGTGCTACGCATTTGTGGGTCGACAAGGTTAAACATGTTCCTATGCTCGGCGCCGTTGTAGTTCCCGAACCCTTGAGCCAATACGTGAAAGTTTACGCCGTGGATGTGCATCGGATGATTCTCCACTCCGATAATGGCTGTGTTCTGCAACACCATCTCCACTGTCGAGTTGAACTTCAGCTTCGTCACTTTGGTGTCTTTTGGAGCAAAGAAAAACGATGGGTTATTGGCATTGATGGAAGCGTTGGTGTAGTCAAATTCTATGGGGGGCTTGGCTGGGAAATCGGTGTTGTAAACTCCGTCGATGTTCGAATAGAAGGCTTGCAGCAAAGACAATGCCGTGGGTGGCACGAAGGATCGGTTGTTCATGCTGGCTGAGAGTCTGGCTCCTAGTGGACCGAGACATGTCTTGTTGGCTGCACATGGGTTGAGGCCTAATCCCATTGTCACAAACATTTCGTAGTCCACATGTGCTGGTACCTGAACCCAGTGAGGTCCATCTTTCAACCCGACTAAACTACTATAAAACTTGTGAGCCGTAGGGGTGTCGTTTCTGGCCGGAAGGGTTGGCATTAGAGACGTTGCTGTCGGAGGCATGCCACGGTAGACGACGACTCCCCTTGTGGTAGTATTATCAAATGGTATAATAGCCGCAGTATAATATGGACCAGCTGCCATGTAATACGATCCAATTTCCTGATCGGCGAGTAGCAAAGCATCGACGGTTTGGCCGGGGGCTATCACTATGACGTCAGTGGTGTAAGGTTTCGTGTAGCTAGCGTCAACGGCGACAACCGTTAGGTTATGATTGGCTATCTTATAGAAAAGCTGTGCGACGAGTGCGGTGTTGACTATGCGTAAGAGATAGGTCTTTCCCGACTCCACGTTCAGCTTGTACATTTCTAATGAAAACCAAATCATAGCATAAAATATTACTTGTCAACTACGAATAATTATAGATTAATGAAATATATTAATAATTACTGATCATTAATTACGATTTTGAGAGCATGGATAGAGATCTCCTGGCAATCCATTTATTGTGTAAGCATCAGAAATATTTGGTAAACCTCCAGTGGCAATGGCTTGGTTCAAAACATCAATGACATTAGCATTCCACCACTCGCCTGCAATTACAAATATACATATATATATATATATATATATATATATATTCAAAACTATTTTTAGATTATTCGAAAATGGTAATAAATTCGTTTAGGATCATTAATCAAATAAAGAGTATTTTAAGATAGAAGGTTAACTAAGGGTATACCTAGTAAGATAGGGACTTCCCTGTGGGGGTTAGGGAAGGGATAGGAGTGGCCGGATTTGGGACGAATAACGAGTGCGCCGTAGACGGTGGCTCGGAGCGCCGACACATGAGCGTGCCAGAAGAGGGTTCCTTCTTGATCGATGATTCTGAACTTGTGTGTATAATTATATCCAGGGCGTACCGGACATTGAGTGATCATGTTAGTCCCATCCGCCCAGCAGCTCTCTTTTTGAAACACTCCATGCCTATCAAAACAAACAATAAGATCTCATCAATAGCTTTGATTATATGTGTGTCTAATTATGGTTTGGGTTCCTCTATTATGCTTAAATTATGATTTAGTCCAATACTTTAATTTATTTATAATTTGATTACTCTACTTTTGTAAAATTATTGGGAATAACAAATGACATTGAAAAAATAAATGGATAAATCAGGTAAAATAAAAAATAAAAAAATAATAAATTTCAAATTTGAGCATAATAAACAAGGGTGAAGGGAAGGACCTTGCCCCTAAAATTTTGAAATTGTGAATTTAGCCCTTAGAATAAATACATAAGAATACAATAAATTGTGTTTTGGTCTCTCAAAATTTTCAATTTTACTTTTAGCCCCCTCCAAGTTTTTAAATATGGCTAGCTTCCTTTATAAAATTTGTGATTTTGTATTATAAATTTGTTAAATTTTTAGTTGTACATTTTTAGTTTAAATACGGCTATATGACTAATGTTGGTCAATGATAACACTTCAAATGAACAAAACATTAGTAGTTCTTATCTCATGAGGATCAATGAGGAATTGAGGACTAACCAGTGAAGAGTCAAGTTGTAAGGTGACTTATTAAAGACATGAACAATTAGTGTGTCGCCCTCTTGAACTCGGATTGTTGGGCCGGGGAGGCTACCATTTACGGCGGTAATCACCCGGCGGTTGCACAGCCTATTGATCGTCAAGTTCTGCACCTGCCATCAAATTAAAAGATCAAAGTGAGAAACTTTTTCTATTGCATTGATCCACATGGGAGTCAACTACAGGCTGCTAATGGTGTTGGGGTTATTACAATGAATGTGTGTTCCACCACTGCTGCTAAAGCTGTTGTGGCCGCAAGAAGAGTTAAAAGGCCGACCGGCAAGACGACAGACTGCCCCATTTCGAACGAATCGCCGGAGAGAATGGATAGAAGGTAGGAAGAAAAAGATATTTGGAGACTCTTAGAAGGTTCATATTAAGTATTGACAGGTTAAGCAGTCGTGTATGAAACAAGCAAATTAGGCAACTAAAGATAATTTTCGATTCAGTTTCCTTTCCATCAGTCTGTTCCTAAAAAGGGATTCAAATATGCTATATAATAAGGGTGATTCCATAAAAGAAGGCCCTATGGAAATAGTACCTAACTTGTAAATGGGGACAAAGCTGTAAAACTCTTTTAGGGGTCAAAATTGAAGTTTAGATTGTTTTAGATGTTAAAGTGCTATTTTACCGTTGTATTAACTTATAATTATTTAAAGGACTAACGTGCATTTTTACCTTATTTAAGGCGCAAAGGCCATTTTCTGCATACT